CACAGAAGCAAAGCCCAAACTACACCCACTGCCGTGGAGTCCATTCTGACCCACAGCGCCCCTAGAGGACAGAGTGGAACTGCACCACAGGGTCTCCAAGGCTGTCAGTCTTCAGGGAAGCAAAGCCCCAACCAAACCCACTGCTGTGGAGTCAATTCTGACCCACCGCGCCCCTAGAGGACAGAGTGGAACTGCACCACAGGGTCTCCTAGGCTGTCAGACTTCATGGAAGCAGACTGTCTCATCTTTCCCATAGAGCAGCTGGTAGATTTGAACTGCCAATCTTTTGATTACCAGCCCAGCGCTTTAACCACTGCGCCACCAGATCTTCTGTGCAGGAGGGAACTATTGATAATGTTATCAATATAAATAACCTAAATAAGGACTACCTCATGCAAACCAGAGCTAAGAGCTCCCCTACCTATCCCTACCCTGACTGTCCCCACCCACCCCCTCCAAAGTTCCCGTCTGTCCTCATCATCCCTTTTGTCATCTGTCTCGTCAAGCCTCTAGGCCCCAGCCCAGGGCAGGGTACCTGGATGGGCTGGGGGGAATAGAAGGGCTCTTCCTGACCTCCCACCCTTCCAAGACTTCTGATCCCCTCCCGATCCTAGTACTGCGCTCTTGAAGGTCAGCGGTTCAAATCCACCAGCTATTCCTGGGGAGGAAGATGAGGCAATCGACTTCCACAGCTTGACTGCCTTGGAAAGGCTATGGGAGTCACCGTGAGTTGGAATCGACTCCATGGCAGCCGTGTTCCTGAGTGACTCCTTGCTAAGACCCTCCTGTGACTGCCAGGACCCTGTGTGCCCCCAACAATCTCTCTGACCTCATCTCCTATTAGTTCCCCCATCCCTAACTCCACCATAACCGCACCCCTCTCCTTGCTATTCCTGGAACCTGACCTCAGGCCTTTGCCCTTCCCAGGACAGCAGGGCTCATCTCCTCTCTTTTGTCAGGTTCCAGCCCATAGGCTGTCATCTCAGTACATGTTCCCTCACCTCCCCAAAACAGCAGTGCCCACCTCACCCACACTCCAGCCTGATACTAATGCTATCTATATCTTTCATGTTTGTTTCTTAACTGTCTCTGTCCCTAAATCATAAAGGTGAAGCTCTTCCTGCTGTGTCCCTGCCCCTAGAAAGGGGCCTGGCACCGAGAAAGGTCTTATGAAGTATCTGTTGCATGAATGAACATAGATAACTGTTGATAAATGGAATTAAAGTGTTCATGCTGTTTGTATCTTGCTTCTTCTCCTGACGTTTTTTCTTTGGCATTTTCCTCCTTGATAAGAGAGATCCCTGTTAGTCTTTATAACGGTTGGAGCTCCATTGCGTGGGGCACCGTGACTGCTTGAACAGTCCCACCTGGTGAGACACTGCTGCGACCATCTTTGTACCTGCGTCTTTGCTAAAGCGGGGACAGCTTTCTGTCCTTTCAGTAATCTAAGTGTATTTTACTTCGACGTGTTTCCAAAGCTTTCTGTAGTATCAGAACCCTTGACTGAGGTATCTCAGATGTTCTGTGACAGTTTTCTTTTTGATGTTTTTTCTTGCTTAGAAAAGTCGTGACTGACATTGTCAACTGAGCTTGGGCTGCTTTTATCAAGTTATGAGACTCTTGTTGTCAGAAGTGAAGGGCACTCTGTGGGAGATACCTGGTTCCCATTCTTTGAGGAAGGTTGGCATTAGGCCTTAAGTGTGTTGTGATGGTCCATCCATCTGGGGCTAGGGGCTGCCTATCACAGCTACACCCTGTAACACGCACCCTGTTGGTTTACAGGAAAGGTCTGGGTCCCCAAGCAGAAGCCAATGGATCCTGTGCTGGAAAGTGTGACGCTGGAGCCAGAGCTGGAGGAGGCCTTGGCGAACGCCTCCGACGCGGAGCTCTGCGACATTGCCGGTAAGAGGCGTTCCAGAAGCTTCCTCACGTCCTCCAGGAGGGCTTACTGCATATGCAGGGAGCCTGGTATGGTTGATGTCAACTTGAACACCCTCTGCATTTTCTAACAGGAGTGTTAAAATAGAAATCCATTTTCACCAAAACGAGGTAAGCAGAGATCAAACCGCCCAAACCGTCCAATCCCAGCACATGGACGGGCCATCTGTTGATGCTGTGACCCCATCATCCCAGAGGGAGGTGGAAGTTTCCCAGAGAGGAAGTGTTCCAGCATGGGACACCTTCACTAGCCATTTGCCTCAACTCCTGCCCGGCCACATGGGGAGAGAGAGAGAAGAGTGGAATGGTCAGAGGACTCCTGGTACCTCCAGTATGGGAGGGAGGCTCACAGGGGACTGGGGCAAAGCCATCTGGTTTCACAGCTTTGTATGTAGCCTGTGGCCAGCTAAGAAACCAGGCTTTGGGCGGATCACCCAGCAAGTATGTCATAGGACTGCAGCACCTTCCGTTTTCACGTGTGTGCCCGTATGATCTTCACAAACAACCCTCCCCAGCCCCAGAAGGTGGCCCAATGGTCAGAACTCTTCCTACGCCCATCTCTCCTTAGACGGTCCCCTCCCTCCCCCACTCTGTGTTCCAGCCCCACTGGGCTCTGATTGGCACACACCAAGAGTGCTCCCCTGTGTTTGGGAATGAATGGCTTTTATCCTGCTGACTTGGGAGCTACTGACCAGCCCCACTGATGGCAGGAGGACCAGTGGTGGGAGAGACTGACAGCAAATGGGAAGGGGAGAGGACTGAAGGGGCCAGGATGGCTGGCTGGCTGTGTGAGAGAGAGCGAGAAGGTTGATTGCAGTTAGAAGAGTCAAGGCAAGTGGCTAGGGTTCTGAGTCCAGGGACTAAGTGGGTGGTGATGCCAGTCAGGAAGGTGAGGGATGGGAGCAGAGGGATGAGGGAAATGCTGACATCAGTGGGCCAGTGGAGTTCAAGGTGCCTATAGGTCCCTCAGGTGGAGAGAGTTGTACACGGAGGTCTGGAGTTCTGCAAGGAGTCCATACTGGGTGTAGAAATGTGGGCACCATTAGCATTGTCAAGCTCTGAGCCTGGCAGAGGCGAGAGCCTGGGGCTCTGGGCTACAAGTATGTGGGCCAGGTGGAAGTTTTTTGGGAGGAGAGTCATGGAAATGGGGTCAAGCCAATGTGGATCCAGTTACCACCAAAGGGCTCAGAGCCAAAGGCCAGATCCAGATGCGCAAAACCCAGGGCAAGAGCCAAGGGGACAGAGTGGGGTGCAGGGATGGTGGAGGGGACGGCGAGATACACAGCCAAGGCCAGAGCCGACAGGGGCCACCAGGCCTCGGGACTAGGCTGCAGCTGTCTTGTCCCTCATCATATACACATCCTCTCAGCTGTGATCATTGCCAGAGGTGGGGGGCACTGAGGAGACTCGACTGTGTGAGGGATGAGCCTGGGCAGAGGTGACCAAAGCCAGGAAACAGGGCCCCAAGGAGTGCATGGGGGAGACCAAGTGTGTAGACCCTGCATCCAGACAGCTCTTTCCTCTGAACAGAAAATTCGGGGAAGGACAAAGGGCAGTGGCTTGAAGGGTGACAGGGCGGAGAGAGACTGGTTTTTATTTTCAGGGCAAATACAGAAGCAGCAAGTTTGTCCCCCAGATGGAAGCAGAACACCAGGCTCGGGGAACCTTTGCCTTGCAGTCAAGGATTCGCTTCCTCAGAAGCCACGCACGTGGGGTCCCATCAGACCCCACATCGTGCACTTGTATCTCAAGGGAACTGCTTCCCCGAGGTGAGGAGGCCCCTGGGCCCCAGCTTACTCCGTGCTGCAAGCAGTGGGTGGTGGTGCCTTTGTGCAGCATCTCAGCGCTGACTCACCCTGGAGCTGTTTTCATCCCAGACTTTCTCCTCCGATGACCCTGCATGGCGTCATCCCTCATTAGGGGGCTCAGAGGGACTATCAAATGATCCCAGTGTCAGAGCCACCAGTTCCTGCCAGTCCCTGTGCCGAAACAGGGCGTGCTAAGTTTCTGTCTTGCTATCTTGAACCTCTTTCTCTTCATTTTTGTTGGCATGGCTAATGATAAGAATCTGTTCATGGTACCATACCCCTCCGATGTCTGGAAAGGAGAGGGGTAGCTGTCAGGCTGCAGCGGTGTCAACTGGCTAACCTCGGGTGCCTGTCACTTTCTATCAGCCATTTCAAAGGTGGCAGTGTCTCTGGGGAAGGAGGGATTGAACGTTTGTTGACCAGCAACAATGTCCCAAGAGCTAAGTGAGTGGCCTTAAATACCTTTCTGCTTTTCTTGCTATCACCCACAACAGTCCTATAAAACAGGTTTTATCATTGTCCCCATTTTATGGGTGGAGAAGCCAGGCACTGTGAGGGTGAACAGGAGTCCCTGGGGGACCACTAACCTAAAGGTTGGAGGTTCAAATACACCCAGGGGTGCCTCAGAACAGAGTCCGGGTGTCCTACTGCTGAGAGGTCACGGCCATTGAAAACATTACAGAGCGTACTTCTACTGACACACCTTGGGTCATCCCAAGTTGGAGTCGACTTGATGGCAACTAGTTTGGTTTCTGGTTTCATGAGGTTCGAGAACTTGCTCAAGGGGTATGAATCCAGATAGTGTCATCCTAGGGCAGATTCCCAGTGTCACTGCCTAGTGTAACCTGAACAGAGCCCTCCAGGTTGGAGATGGACAGGAGTCCAAAAGGTGGACAGAGAGGGTTCCTGGTGAAGTCAGGAGAAATCGGCTGGAGGGAAAAATAGGCCACATTAGGAATAGCTCCACATCAAGCAAAGTTGCTGAAACCTGGGGCCAGGGAGTATGTGGAGGGGCCGGTGAAGGTGTGGTTTGGGAAGAAAGACAGTGGAGCTCTGGAGGGTAGGGGATGCAGGGGGTAGGAGGCGGGCCGGGGAGGGAGGCTGAGGGCCCAGGCAGGACGTCTGAGATGCAGTCTACAGAGAGACCAGCTGCTCCTGGTGGTGGGCCAGAGGCCGAGAGGACACCGGGCTTTCTGACCTGCCTGCTGCGGGAACAGAAACAGACCTGGGAGCCTGTAAGAGCTGCTCTCCGAGTTCATTCCAAACACCTGCGGGAGCCGGAGGCAGGAATTGCTGGGTGTGGCAAGCCCACCAGTGAGCAGCCGGTGGGGACTGGGGCTGCCCCAGGGGCTCTGAGCGGGTAACGCGTTAAGGGAAGAGAAGGAGGGACAGGAGGATGCAGCTGCCGAGTCATCTCTGGTCTCTGCCCAACTCAGCCCCCAAATCAGAAAAAAAACCAAGCTCACTGCCATTGAGTTGATTCCGACTCCTAGCGACCCCCATTGGGTCTCCAAGGGGGTCAAAGGGCCAGGCTCTAGGTAAATGTGGATGGAAATCGATTGTTCCATCTTCCTTCTGTGAAGCAGCTGGTGGGTGTGAACTGCCAGCCTTCTGGTTAGCAGTCAGATGACTTATCCACCACGCTGTGGCCTTCCCTCGCCTGCCTTCCTTCCTGGCTTGTCCATTGCTTCGCACGTTCAGCAGAGTATATCATGGTTCTTCCTGTGTGCCAGGCTCTGGACTGGGCTCTGAGAAGGAACGGTCAACAAACAGCATAGTTCCTGCCCTCCAGAGCCAAACAGACAACCAGGCTACTGTTAAATGACAAACGAGGATAAGCGTCATACGTGAAAAGGAGAGGTCCAAGTGGGGCTTCGGCTTGTGTGCTGGGGTTGGGGGGATGAGAGAACAATGTGGGGGCTGAAGCTAGAGAAGTGCTTTGGTTCCCTGGTGCCGCTCTGACAGGGATAGACCACAAATGGGACGGCCTTAACGAACAGGAGTTTATTCTTACAATTTGGAGGCTTTAAGTCCAAGTTCAAAGTGCCAGGCTCTAGGGGCTGGGTGAAAGCCCCTCAACCTTGGGCTTCAGCTCTGCCTGCTCCTGGCCCACTGGAGCTAGAGGCATCTCTTCACTCAGGCAGCTACTGGCTGCTGAGGCTGACAAGCCCAAGGTTGACGAATAAAATGGCACAGTCCTGATGTTACCAAACCACACGGCAGGCCATGAATTCAATCCATTGAAAGTCTCAAGGTCAGCAGAGCATAGCAGGCTGCTGAATGACATGGCTACATACAGGGTTCAAGGTGTCATAAAGCTGTTTCTTACATACAGGAAGCCCACGACATACCCAAAGGTAGCTACTCAGCTGCTCACAGTCGATTCCACCGTGGAGTTGATTACCAGTCTCATGGGGAACACTACATCCAGCTGCCCAGCCACTCAGGCCCAGCCAAGTTGACCCACAAACTTCACCACCACGAGGAGAAGTAGAGGTCAACCAGAGCAAGTGTGGGGAGAAACAGCCAGTCAGGGGCAGGGTGCCAATAAGACAAGCACAGGCTTCCTTGTGCTTACTTACAACCCTGTGGTGAACAATTTCACGTGGGCTTCACCACATCAGAGTGAAAGTGTTCACTGAAGATTAGTAAGTAAGCACAAGGGAGCCTGGGCTTACCTTATTTACTGCATAGTCTACCCTGTCAAGGATTGTAAATTGAAAAGAGGCTTTGATTCTATAGTAGGGGTCTGTGGGGCTGGGAGCGAGGCCAGCCATACCCAAAGCAGAATCTTTGATGCAGTAAAAAATGTGAAACTTCACTACAGATTAGTAAGTAAACACAACTAAGCCCGTGCTTACTTGCTTATTGGGTATTCAGACACTGATCTTGGGAAAGGAAACCACAGGCACCCAGGCTCAAGCTGGGGAGGGGGCCAGCCCCTTTGAGCAGCTTGCTCTGTGGGCTTGGTGTGTGGCCATGGTGGGAACACTGAGGTGGACACCCAGGGGCAAGTGTGGACACAGGCCTGTGACTTCCCGTTTGTCCGTTGGCTGTCTTGTTTGTGCATCACACCCACTTGCACACATTCATTTACCATACATGATGGCACTCCTACTATGTACTGGGATGGAAAGATCCAGCCCTGACCCCAGG